AATGGTAAAAAAATATAGCTGACCTAACAAGTCACTGCTATTAAACATGCGTGTTCACATTTGTGAATCCGGCGGTTAATTAACGGAAGAAAATGGACACGTGTACGACGAAACACAACTGCAGTCTCGAATCATAGGCAACTTTAAAGAAATTATTGTCTTTGCCTAGTGTGTCGAAGCCGGGCCCAGTAATGTGTCAGAACACCAACCAAGGACCAAATCTAAAACATGCGATCAGATTGGCTCACACGCGAAAGCATCAGCAAACTCTTCTTTAGACACATTTTATAGAAATATTATTGTGCGTGTTTTCTACTCTATGCCAAATGAATTTACATTTGATTCGACTACTAAAGTATTTAGTAACTCGAAATAATTATTGTTTAAGCATTTGTGATATTATAAATGAACCCAAACAGATCTGTAAACGAACAAACGTAAGCAACTTTGCGTTAATCTGATCGTGTTCGGACTTATTTAAATATCAACATGATGCAGACAAGTACTTTTGATATTATAATCATGACTGAAATATTTGTTGTGCGGACCTATTAAAGTAGGCCCATATGAGAAGGAACTGATTGAGATAGTTTGACAATTTTGTTAGTGGTATCTGACATGTATATATTTGTCTTCTATAACCATTTTCTGATGTGGAGTATATATTATTATTACATGCATAAAATACGAAAAATACATAACTCATACTTGGAAATTACAAAAGGCAACCTTAAATTTATGGTATACTTGAGCGTCTTCCTTCAGTGATTTTGGTTCTAAGAACTGAACTATAGAGGATTTTGGTTGTCTTTTCGTCAAAATTCCCTATAAAATACTCCCTCTGTTTAATTATAAATGTCGTTTTAAGTTCATATCCGCGGATTAAGGAAACCATTAATTTTGTATTTTTTTCATATAAAAATACAATTATCTATACACCTAACCATATCGAAAAGACATTTATTTTGTAACGAAAAAAACTCTCCAAAACAACACTTAATATAAAACCGAGGGAGTATGTACGGAACCAGTGACGTCAAATGGGCCAGGAATGTTTCCGTATGACAACGTTAACGACCGAATCGAATATGCGGTTTTATGGGGCCACGTGGAATCATCGGAACTGACACGTCTCTTCCTTTTAGACAAAGGTTCAACCAGTTTCAAGTTTCAACTGCTTCAAGAAAATGGCTGCTTGATGCAAATTCTTCTTTGAACAAATTTAGAAATATATTCTTTAGTTATTTTTTTTGTTCATACTCAAAAGAAAAAGTTCGTAAACATTCCATGCTTTCATAAGTTTTGAGCTCACATCTCCCTCAATATTTGATATTTAGCTTTTTGGAATTTCGATTTAAAAAAAAAAAGATTTGTAACATTTTGTTAAAAGATTTTATATTTAGTTTGGTAGCAAGGTTGACCCGCAGATTTTTTTTTATATTTAGGGTCACATGAGTAGAGCCGTACGTAGAGGTTGAGTGGTTGACTGGTACAACTTTGATCAGGTTGTATCAATTGAAGTAACACAAGTTTGCCTCTATTGCCATTTTCTGATCACAAATTCACCTTTTTATATATATATATATATATATATATATTATGATATGCATACAATACGAAAAAGTTACAAAAAAAAACTACAAAAGGTACTCTTATTCGATCTCAATTTACTGTCATCATGTTCTTGAGATAGAAGAACATAGCTTTGATTTTCTGCTTCTCAGATGTATTAGTATCGGCTTCCAAAGCATTGCTCACTTTAAATCATATCAAAGAAAGCAAACAAGTGTTGTGAGTGCTAACACGATGAGTAAGTATTATGAATGGTGAGTGTCAGAGAAAGAGAAATGATAAATCTCACCTATTGGGTTTTCCCCTGTTCCTCATCATCATAATCATTATTAAGCAAACAGTTAAAATCATGAGATGAAAGGTTGTTGATAGCCCTGCGTATTGCATCCTCGATCTGAGCTTCTTCCTCCAAATGAGGAAAGCCACTAAACTGACGTGGATCCTGTAATTCAAACGACGATCCCTGAGAAAGAGAAGAGTGAGTCAGAGTCTCTATGACTAATGATAACGAAGAGTGAGTCAGAGTCACCTACCTCGGCCTCTGAACTCAATCCTCCACCAGAATTGTTCACAGGAGTTATGAGAGAGTTATTCTGCTCAATTTCATAACCACCACCAGCAGAAGAAGAAGGTAAATCACTGGAGTCACCCTTAAACATTACTTTACATACTGTATATGTCATCATCGTCTGTACAAATCAAATACAATTATAAAAAAATAACAGAAATCAATTAACTCAGCATCTAATCAAATCAATCGCAGCCCAAAAATGGGCCAATCAACTGAGAAAAAAATCATTTAAGACTAAGAGAGCAACCATAACGTTACTACTTATATACACTACCTGAGTAGGAGACGAGAACGTAGCGACGTATTCATGCATAACCCATTCCGTTTTGGGTTTCGACCCACCAAGAATATGACTACTGTAGTGAAACACCAAAACCCTTTTCTCACCAATATTCTCGCGGTTCCCTCTCTTTCGAACGATTTTCATTGTCTTACCGGTTTTCTTCCAAAAGCCAGACTTGGTTTTTCTGCTCTGTCTTTCTCCTCTGTTATATTTGTTCTCCTTCCGACCGAAGAAATACCAAACATAGTCCGTCTCCTTCCTTATCGAATGTGCTGAGAAATAACAGCAAAAAATTAAATAAAAAGCCCATTAATACATTAAAAACTAGCTGATATTTCGATACAACAGTATGAAAGTAGTCTTTAAGACACTTACAAGGTAACTCCCAAGGATCGAAGCTACATATATCCACTGTGCTAATGACCTCATCGACATGACTAGTGTTACCATCAAGATTTTTCGACCTTAGGTAATGGTCGCAGATCTCATCTTCGGTCGGACGGAATCCGTAACCCACCGGATGCGGATCCACCATTTTCTCCACAACAAGACTAAAAGTTTCAGATCAAAAAACGAAATAAGAAAAAAAATATATGCAGCAGAGCAGAGAGCTTCTTTATCTGTTATCGCTCGCTGTTCTGTTATTTTCTGTTATTATGAGCAAGACGAAAGAGGGGTTTTTATATTAAAAAAAAAAAAACTGGCCCCGATATTTGAGGGTACACTCTAAATTTCAAATATTATTTTGTATCACAGCATGGAAATTGATTAAAACCGTGACGACTTAGTGACGTTATCCATTCCTGGGACATACGTGGAACGGGTATATACTTGTCATGTTCATGACCTTTTCGTTTAAATAATAAAATAAGAGGGAGAAAAGGGAAAAAATTCCCAACGACGGTCGATGGCACGGTGCATACTAGCTTATGAAAAAGGCGGTTTCTTCATTAGGCCCCACGTCTATTTACTTTTTTTTTTTTTGTCAGCTTAATACCATTTTTAAGGATTCCAATTTCTTAATTTCGTTTTCTTCAAACCACTTATTTTTTTAACTACTCGGGGATAATCAATGTTTCGGATTAATTTTATTTATCGATTTCCAAATTTAAATATCCACCTCATCTTCCTATTTAATAAATGAAGATATATATATATATATATACATTCTTAAAAATATTACTGTTTGGATTATAATGATTTATTACGATTCATTTTTTTTGTTTTGAACTGAGGGATTATTTTTTTTTATATGCTTTGTTCCTCACCAGTTCTAATGATTGTATTAAATAGTAAGACTCTATTATACTTGGTTCGTATTATTAGTGATCAAATGATGATTTAATTTTATAATATATTTTAAGTTCTAATAATGTTTGATTATCACTTTAGGAGAAAGCTAATCACGGTACTGATCTATCACTTCTTCGAAAGATTGAAACTTTATATTTTTGATATTATAATTGCTGGTCACCGCTCACGTGCGCAGTAAGTTATTCTCGCACGTAAAATCTAAGAAAAAGGCTTGTTAAAAGCATGTTTAAGTGACACTAACGTCGCGGTGAAGCGCCTTCCTCGAAGGCTCGTAGACTAAAAGCTCCAGAGAGTGTCTAACCTTTCCTTTTTGTTTTTGTTGTCTCTAGATGTAGGCCTAGTGATTAAATACAGCAACTTAGCATTTGAACCAATAATAATAAACAAAAAGGAACCAGAAAGATTATAAAAGGAGCTACAAAAAAAAATAATGAAGGGGTAAGGGAATTGGTAGACGCATTCAACGTGAATATTAAATTATATATACACACATCTGCAGAGTCGAAGACGGATCACTTCATGAGAACCATTTTTCTTATGATCACCATTATTCATCACTACCGCAACAGTCTGTTACTTACTTATAATACCATATTTTTTGCTTACCTAACATCTTTCAAATTGAACTGTATTTCAAGTGAAATAATAGAATAACAAATGGTCAAAACACCAAAAAGAACATCGGCTTAACAATATTCTCATTCGATAATCATAGCTCCTAAATGTTCTAAAAATGATTTACTCATCTATTCTATAGATAATTAAAAATCGTGATCTATTATAAATGTTATACATATGCGCATGTTTTAACCATAAAAATTTTATGTTGTGAAAAAAATATGTTTATTCTATTAAAAAAAAAACATTCATGCAGGTGCACTGATCAAGCTGTAGTTTTTTTTATAACTTCATTCTCTTATTAATTAACTTGAGTCATGATGGAGCAATGACGTGATACATCTGGGGACATGATGAAGCTCTCATATTTTGTTATGCTAAAACTACATAATTAAACAACTTCAGAAACGTATAAACGTGAGAGTTTATATGAAGTAATTAAAATTACTAGAAGTGAACCTTCAAAACGGAGAAATGGAATGCATTGTCCTTCGCTCATAATTGAGTTTTCTGTTTGTTTGTTCTTTTAAAAGTACAGAACGTGAATACTGGATTAAGGTGTGTAAAAGAAGCACAAGCATTGGTTGTTGCAAAATGGATAAGATCTTCAGAAAATAAAGCATGTAAAAATTAAGTTACAAATTACTTGATGAGGAAGAGACTAATGGCATTAGCGATGAATGTTGAAAGTAGACCATATTTTAAGTGTTTATTGAATGTGAGAGTGTAACCATGGCTCACTGTTCTACGAGCTTGCTCACACACTATCAGGTTTGCTGCTGAATCAAGTAACGTCAAGTTTCCAGCCACCGTTCTCACCCACGCCTTCTTCTCCTCCTCCCCCGCAGCCGCCACAATAGCTCCCAACAAGAGATGACAAGAATCACAAGTGCTAGAACTGCGGTTCCATTGGCTTAATCGATTTTCGCAGATGGCTCCATTAGATTTCCATAGAGCTGTAGGGATACTGGTTTTGTTGAATCATTCGACGGTCATGAACATCCCGCAGAAGAAGATCAAAAGTGAACACACTAAAATAGACTACTATTTTAGTTCACCAAAGAGTTGATACAATCAAAACGCAAACTCTTTAATTTGTCTTAAAACAGAGTATGCTATTACAAAGGCTCAAAACCTTATCTCAAAAACTATACAGAACATCAAAAAGGTTTAAAACTTCTTACTGCGCATCTCAATCACACTGCTTCTTTACATGTATAAGAGGCAAACAAAACTTAACTACAGAGCACTTTGACCGGTGAGAATTGTACAGTGAGACAAGCATGATCGGAGAGACTGTAATTCTCCGGCCACAATCCTCTCTCTGCTTCTTGCGGAAACAAAACCGCTTTCTTCACTTTCAGTCCAACCGCTTCTTCTTCTTCCTTATCATCCCCTTCTTCTTTCTTGCTCTCCATCACGCTCTCTTTGCAGTTCTCAGATTGAACCATCACTGTCATGCTCCACATTTTCTGACAAAACATAACCACAGACGTTTTAAGCAAAGAAACATTGAATCGGTTAGAGATATTCGTTTTGCAACAATTGGTTACCTTAAGTTCTTCATAGTCGAAGACACCATTTCCATCAACATCAGCTCGATCCCACAGCTCTTTTGTCTCTTGGAAGCTAAGTCCATGTGGCATACCCGTTAGATTTACCTGCAACAGTAAGTTTCACTCTCAGAGGTTTGTTCTTTATCCTACTGTTATGTTCACTTAAAGCTCCAATTGATCAAAAATAATTTCCAGAAAAAAATCGGAACTCAATAAGAATCTGCTAAGATGTAAGACTTTATGGCAGCATTTTTGGATAGTTACAGTTACTCTCCTGAAGAAACTGAAGTTACCTTTTGAAGTGCTTGGCAAAAGCCAGAGTATGTTAAGGAATCACTGTGATTATTTTCCCCAAGAAAAGCAAAGGCCTTGTCTTCAGCTATGGAAGCTTTCTGGACTTGATACTAGAAAACCATCAAGAGAAATCATAGTTAGAAAAAAGGACATGTGAATGTCTGTTGGAGGTAAAAAAACTAAATCCAGAATGAATGAATGAATTATGGAGATTCTTTGTTTATAATGATGCATTGATGATTAACATTCTTTGTTTCTTAAGATTTGCAATGCAAAGGAGGAAATAAATCTCACCTTGATAATGCTGAAAACAGCTTCAACCCAACTTGTTCTCAATGGTTTTTTTGAATTGCTGCTAGTAGGATTACAGAGCCATATGAAATCAACTCCGCATATGTTTCCCCTGTGGTTTCTATGGCTAACCCACTGAAAAAAAGGAATAAAGGAAGGCGGTTAAGGATGTGTCTTTTACAGCAAGATAACAGTGAGGATGGAGAAAAGTTCGTAAGAGTTTCTAACCCTATGAGCATCACTGTCCGTATACTGATGAGCAACATCATATGATGATATGAACCCTTGAGATCTCAAGAATTTGTATACATGCCCGCGCTTGCTTCCATTCCAGTCACTGAAATAAATAAATAATTCAAAAGTCATCAGATTACAGTGGTGGAGGGAAACAATTTCAAATACCCTTAAGACTAGAAGCTCACCCGCAGAGGATAATGAAAGTTAAGATTGTTAGATTTGGACCATTAAACACTGTTAAGTGAAGCATATAACATACTGTTTCTGGATTGCCCTTATTAGCTGTGTACCTAATCTACTGTTTTCCAAGACAACAAGAGAGTATACATTTGGAACACTAGACACTGTTAAGTGAAGGCATATCAAAGCCTCTTAAGGTTTCTAATGAATTTGCACAAAGAAGTGTTTAACTAAACCCACATCCTCTCTACTCATAGCTAGAGCTGAGGCCAATGTTTTCAATCAAAAGGGTATTTAAACAAGATGATAAGATAGAGAACCTTAACATACCATCACCACGAGCGTTAGTTCGAGCAAGCTGGAAAGTAGTGTAGCCAGCAGAGGCAAGACGGTCATGGTACATTTTCACCAGTTCCTCATTCCCAACCCAAAACCGACCAAATTAATTTTATATTTTCCGCATCATTTGGAAATAGGGGATTATTGGAACAGCAAGGCAGTGGTGGGCCCCGTTACGTTTCCAACTTCCAAAACCGACCAAATCTAAATATGTTAACTGATTGGGGCACGTGGAAGACTACACGCGCCGCTCTTATTACTTCTCAACAAAGCCTCAGTTTCTACTTTATTAGTTCTGTTTTGTCTGTCTCTCTATAGATATTATTTTTTATTGTACCCTTCCTTTGGCAATGGCGTTATTGATATTGCAGGAGTTTAATTTCGCATCTCCCACAAATAAATATATGTGGTGGGTTGCAAACTAGATTTTGATTTCTAAATTCTGTAAATAAAACATTTATTGTTAAACTAGATGAATCAGAACTGAGGGTTTAGATAGGAGTCATAGGACTAGATGATGAAGATTCGAAAGGAGTACTGGACCATTTTTGTCATATAGTATTAAGGAGTCTAGAGATTCGACCACTTGAGTTTAAAAAAAAAAAGAGATTCGACCACTTCAAGCGAAATGATACAACCTTTTTATCTAACAAATTCTTTAGTCACAAATTCAGTTATTTATTAGTGCATATACTATTGGAATTCAAAACGAAAAAGAGCATATTCCTATTTTGAATTTTCCACACATTAAAAAAGTAGAAACTAGAAAGTGCACACATACATGTATCTCTATATATCAGTACTATGCAACATGCTTACATACTTTTAATGTCGACATACTTAAAATAGTGAAATAGATACTCGTATCTACAACTTTCATTGTTTGATTAAATCCTATCTGATTAGAAGAATACAAACTAATTTAATATAGGGAAAGAGATATTGTTTAGCCTGCCGAATTTCACTGATAATAACTTGTTATGAATTATGTTTCAAGTATATGTTTGCTTGTTACTCTGTAAATAATGTCGAGAAAGGAGGAAGAAAAACAAAAGTTGCCTTACTCTAATGGGGTTTGGATTGGACTAGAACATCAACATGAGACCATGCACGTGGTATACATATAATGAAGTAGAACTAAAAGAGACTTTCGACATTGCTTAAAACTATAAACATTTGATTCACCATTAATCTTTGTTTCCTTTGTTGAATCTGATATATCTTGTAGGGTTTAAGGTAGGATCGTTTGAGTAGAGGTTGATGCTACGTCCCACATGTTATCACAATTTCGCCTTTATTTATACACATAAGGACATACAATACCGAAAAGTCACAAAACAAGATAAAGACATAACATACAACTTTTGCAAATTTGGAAAATACTAAAGGTACTTCTTCATCTCATTGACATTGAATAATTAATCATGCTTAACAGGGATAGAAGAACATAGCAGAGTTTTCTCGATGCAGCTTCGTATTTTCATGTAAAAGAAACTTCCTCTTTTGTTGTTGATGGCCTCTTGATCCATTTTATAGTCTCCCGTCTCAGTCCCTTGTACATCATCATACTTCTCCTTGGATGCATCAAGGCTGGTTTTGCTCATCTTGAGTCATAACAAATTAGAAGCCAAAAAATGTTGTGAGTACCGGCACAAAGTAGAATTAGGGACTGTCAGGTCTACAAAGCAAGAGTCTCAGAGAGAATAAGGCTCACCACTTGAGTTAGTGGCACTAACTTGGTTGTTGAGTTGGGAGAGTTTTGTAGGTCAGTGATTTGGTCTGTGCAAAGATTGGAGCTCCCAAAACTATCAAAATTGCTCGAGGTTTGAATTGAACCCTGTCAAAATATAGTGAACAAAAAAAGTTAGCTTTGTGAGGTGGAACCTGAAAACAGAGGATTACCATATGATGCTTACTGTTGTTGTTGCAGAGACCAAATCAGAATCACTATCATCATCGCCGCTAATGAAACCAGTCAATGAAGGTTTTGGTTTGTAATCATTACGATCTTCCTGTGTAAACATAGCATTCCACTGCTCCTGCTCCTCCACATTATCATTGTAATTGAGAAGACTGTTAAACTCAGGAGTTGAAACATTGACGAATATGGCTCTGCGAATTGCATCATCGATCTGAGTTTCTGTCTCCTCATCAAGCAAGCCAGTAAAATGACGTGGGTTCTGTAATCCCTGAAAAACAAACGATGTCGTTTGTCAGATTTGACCGAGAGGAAAAAAGACATGAGAGTGACTCACCTCAGATCCACCAGAGTTGTTCATATGAGTGATGACATCAGAAGAAGGCAAATCACTGGCGTCACCCTTAAATTTTACCATACACACTGTATATGTGACCTGTACACGACCCAAAAAAAAATATATATATCACGTACGCTAATTAATAAGCAACACAAAGCTAAAACTGAATATGAAAACAATTAAATACCTGAGTAGAAGGCAAGAAGGTAGCGATGTATTCATGCATAACCCAATCAGATTTAGATTTGGAATCGTTAAAGTGAAACACCAAAACCCTTTTCTCACCAATCTTCTCCCGATCTCCTCCTCTCTTGCGCGAGATATCCATTGTCTCACCGGTTTTCTTCCAAAAACCAGACTTGGTTTTTCTGTTCTGTCTCTCGCCTCTGTTATACTTGTTCTCCTTCAGACAGAAGAAATACCAAAACTGGTCTTTCGATTCCCACCTCGAGTGGCCTGAGTAAAGAAAGAAGAAAAACTAATTAATTAGTCAAATGATACTAAAAATTATCTACTGTGCACGTGAGACTTACGAGGTAACTCCCAGGGTTCGAGGCTATAGATATCTACTGTGCTAATGACTTTATCGACATGGCTCGTGTCACCACCGAGATTTTTGAGCCTGGCGTAAGGGTCGAGGATCTCCTCGTCAGTAGGACTGAATCTATACCCCACACAATTTTCCATTTTGAGTAAGGAGACGGAAGAGGTTAATATTAACGAAGGAATATAACTTCTAGAAAAAGAAAAAGATGATCAGAACAGAGCTTTCTCCATTGTTGCTGCTCTGTAAGTTGAAATGGAATGACGAATACGAAGGTAGGAGTTACTTCTTTATAGTGCTGCATTTTACGGCAATTCTAAAATTAGAGAAGAAAAAATTAAATTAAATCGTGCGAGATAAAGAAACTTATCTTCCAAGGTTTGCAAATTTTCATTTTGATCAATAATAAAACCAAAATTTATATTTATATTTATATATATTATTTTGTTTTATTTTAACTGGACATATGTACTTTATTTCGTCACGTGTGTGACGAGATGAGCAAGGAGGGATCGACAGCTGGCTCCCATAAATAATCGTTATTATAGTTTCCTTTTTTTTTTTTGCTGTATTGTAATTTGTGTTGGCTACATATTGCTTAGGTTTTCTCGTGTCGTGTTTTTCTCTAAGATTTCGTTATCATTATAAGTTTTTTTTTTGTAAGATGTTAAGATCAATAATTATAAGGTTTTTAAAGTTCTGTTGTTACAAATACTATAATCCCATGTCTATATAATCCCATATGTATTTAGATACAAATACTAAATTTTCTGACTTCCTCAAATAATATTAATCATAAGCATAAGCACGAAGCATGTGATGAAACTATTGAATTTGAGAGAAAAAGCAATATACACACACCTATGTACGTACAATCGTAGATAACATTTCTAACACAAGTTTCAAGTATTACTATCCAATTCAGGAGATATGAAAAAATTAGCAATATTTTTTCTTAATGGGGTTTGGACTTTGAACCTAAACATCAGGATTGCACACTTAAGGAGACTCTTAATTTGACATTGGCAAATTATATTATTATCTATCAATGTTTCACCAGAAATAACAAGAGATTAAGGTCAATGTAAGGGATTAGGTATATGTCGACAGTGATGAAGAACAGTCAAAAAGAGGTGGACCATAGCTTTTTTTGTTATGTTGCGAAACTTTTAAAGTTTGAGATCGAGATAAGACCCACCTCAGATCCTTCACTAGCATCATTAACCCATATACTCTAAATGGGTCTCTTATTTTTTTTTAAATACCTTTTAATTGTTAAAGTGAATTAAGAGACTGGATTAAGAGACCCTTAAATTTACGTGCTCCAATGCATGTCTCTTAATTAAGGGTTCTTAATTTTTTTTTGCTTTCAATATGTTTCAAAAGACTAACCTTGAGTAACAAGTTAACAAAACGGTGAGATTTCTCAGCCCTTTTCATCGTATTTGCTCTTCTTAGCTGATGATTGCCATAGCTCTGGCTTGTTCTTTACCCTGCTTTGAGCTAACGAGTACATGGCTCTGTCTGTTATGTTTATGCAGTAGTATAAGCCCAATGATCTTAAGTGGACACACCAATCAGCTAACCCATCATCACTGATCTTCTCACACCATCCTAAAGTTTAGTGACTGCATCTGATAGCAGTTATTCCCAATAGCCTACACACACCAGGAAGAATGAATATTTTAACAAAAAAACCAATACAACCATGCTAATAGATAGGCAAAACACACCTCCAAAGTATAATCAGAAACAGCGTTAAAACATCCACAAAAACGTATCTCGAGTATCACAAGTAGTCAACGACTACAAGCATAGAAAAGATTGTTTACTTGAAATTATTAGCCATAGAAAATCTTCTTCACTTAAAAACATCATAAAATAAGCGTATGAGTAATGCACATCTTGCAACAAAACAGAAAGATGAGTACTCACGAGCACCTGCTGGGTATATTAGCTCATCTGTGTCAAGGTGAAGTATCCAATCCATGCCAGCTTCCTGATATTTAATAAGAACAAAACAGAAAGTGATTATAAAATCAGACATGAACAAATCCGGCTGATAAAGAGAAAGAAGATAGCCACATCTCATTACAAATCCGGCAGAACAAGAAAATGGGTCAAGAGTAGAAGATACAACAATGCTACAATTTCTGGAACAAGAAAAGACAAAAACATGTACGCAATGCCTTAAGGCATAGTTGACGGACCTCTTTGCATGCTTCTCCTCCAGCTCTTTTGTTCTGTATATTACCTTAACCCCCTATAAGAGACAACAACGGTTTATGGAGAATCATTTACCTCAAATACAATTGATACATACAGAACTAAATAACTGGATGTATACAACTAAAGCTAGGAGATGAATGAGTTAAACTCACATGATACATATCTGTAAATTAAGATCAAATTATCAGTGCCCAGTGATGATGAAGAGATTAAACGACCAAATCCCAAGATTCACTGCGGCCTAAAACTTACCCGGCGTACAACCGCAGCGGCGACACCGTCCCCATCCCATACTCTGGAGATTCCCTTGAGAACTCGTTCATAATCAACTCCACAAGCGTTAGGATCCTCCTAGCGTTGTAAACAACCGATCCCTGCGGAAGCTAAGACGGAATATCTTGTTGGTGGGGCTTGTGAGAGGAGCGCCGGAGTTTGGATTCTGGTGTGGAGGGGATATTCGTTTGGAGAGGAAGAAGAAGACACGAAGGAGCAACACGTGTCTCCGTCTCTTTAAATCCCTAATGAATATACGGTCTTTCCATTAAAATTCATTTTTCTTTTTCTTTAATTCCAATAATATTAAGAAACATGGGTAAAGACCCGCGTTGAAGATGCTCAGTTCTCCACCAAAGTTGTTCATATGAGTGATAAGAGGGTGACTATTCGCAACAATTTCACTACCACTAGAAGAAATCTCTCTCGCTTCACCCTTAAACTTTACTTTACAGATTGTATATGTCATGTTCTGTAAATAAATCAAACACGGTCCAAAAGTCAGAAAACTCTGTTGAATAATACAAGAAAGCAACAAAATTAATAAATAAATAAAAAACCCACGGAAGTTGGATTTTGAACTTCTAGTTATAGATAGACCCAAACATGTTTGCTCATAAAGGGTACACACCGGTTGGTACGCTGGAATCACAAGTGCAAGAACCGCGGTTACATTGGCTTTGATCTATAAACTTCTATTTTAGTTCAATGAAGAGTTGATTCAATCAAAACGCAAACTCTTTAATTTTGTCTGAAAACAGAGTGAATGCTATTACAAAATTTTCAAAATCTTCTCTCAAAAACTATACAAACTTTTTATCTCAAATCACAGTGCTTCTTTTACATGTACAAGAGCCAAACAAAGCTTAACTACAGAGAACTTTGACCGGTGAGAATTGTACGGTGAGACAAGCGTGATCGGAGAGATTGTAATTCTCCGGCCACATTCCTTTCTCTGCTTCTTCCGGAAACAAAACCGCTTTCTTCACTTTCAGTCCTATAGCTTCGTCTTCCTTATCTTCTCCTTCTTCTTTCTTACTCTCCATCATGCTCTCTTTGCAGTTTTCAGATTGAACCTTCACTGTCATGTTCCACATTTTCTGACGAAACATAACCACAGACGTTTTAAGCAAAGAAACATTTAATCGGTTAGAGATTTTCATTTTGCAACAATTGGTTACCTTAAGTTCTTCATAGTCGAAGACACCATTTCCATCAACATCAGCTCGATCCCACAGCTCTTTTGTCTCTTGGAAGCTAAGTCCATGTGGCATACCCGTTAGATTTACCTGCAACAGTAAGTTCACTCTCAGAGGTTTGTTCCACCGATTTTCCTTAAAACATATTGTAGAAAATCCAAAAGGAACTTATTTGACCCTTATCCTACTATTATGTTCACTTAAATCTCCATTTGATCAAAAAGACTTTCCAGAAAGGTTGAAATTCAATAAGAATCTGCAACATTATAGACTTTTTGGCAGCATTTTTACATAGTTGAGGTTTATCTCGTAAAGAAACTTAAAGTTACCTTTTGAAGTGCTTGGCAAAAGCCAGAGTACGTTAATGAATCACTGTGATTATTTTCCCCAAGAAAAGCAAAGGCCTTGTCTTCAGCTATGGAAGCTTTCTGGACTTGATACTAGAAAACCATCAAGAGAAATCATAGTTAGACAAAAGGACATGTGAATGTCTGTTGGAGGAAAAAAACTAAATCCAGAATGAATGAATTATGGAGATTCTTTGTTTATAATAATGCATTGATGATTAACATTCTTTGTTTCTTAAGATTTGCAATGCGAAGGAGGAAATAAATCTCACCTTGATAATGCTGAAAACAGCTTCAACCCAACTTGTTCTCAATGGTTTTTTTGAATTGCTGCTAGTAGGATTACAGAGCCATATGAAATCAACTCCGCATATGTTTCCCCTGTGGTTTCTATGGCTAACCCACTGAAAAAAGGAACAAAGGGAGGCGGTTAAGGATGTGTCTTTTACAACAAGATAACAGTGAGGATGGAGAAAAGTTCGTAAGAGTTTCTAACCCTATGAGCATCACTGTCCGTATACTGATGAGCAACATCATATGATGATATGAACCCTTGAGATCTCAAGAATTTGTATACATGCCCACGCTTGCTTCCATTCCAGTCACTGAAATAAAATAAATAAAAGTCATCAGATTATACTGGTGGAGGGAAACAATTTCAAATACTCTCAAGATAGAAGCTCACCCGCAGAGGATAATGGGCATGTGGGTAAGTTTATTTTCCTTTTGGTAAGCTTCCAGATATTCGAGAATTTTGTAAACCTGTCAAGAGAAGCAGAGATGATCAAATCAATAATCACGATATATAAGGGGAATGGTCTAAGAAAAAAAAGTAAAACTACAAGAAGGGTGACGAACGAACCTGATGCAATCTAGCAATAGACAAACTGGAATCATGTGGGAACAAGAGATGAGTGTTGACAATAAGAGCCTCTTGTTGAACATGTTGATTCTCATTAAGCGGGAAAGGAAGAATAGATTTGACATGTAAGAGCTGAGCAACACGGTCTCCAAAATCATTAAAAAGCAGCTCCCGGTAATTAACAAGTTGAAAGTAGTCCTTATGGATGGCAGTTAAAAGACCTGTAATACAGATATTCAAAGCCCACAGATTAGATCGAAACATTTTGAATCACAGTCGCACTCCTCCATCAAAAAACAGTCATTGAAAGTTAAGATTGTTAGATTTGGACCACTAAACACTGTTAAGTGAAGCATATAACATACTGTTTCTGGATTGCCCTTCATAAGCTGTCTCTAATCTACTGTTTTCCAAGAGATGAGAGAGTATACATTTGAAACACCAGACACTGTTAAGTGAAGGCATATCAGAGCCTCTTAAGGTTTCTAATGAATTTGCACAAAGAAGTGTTTAACTAAACCCACATCCTCTCTACTCATAGCTAGAGCTGAGGCCAATGTTTTCAATCAAAAGAGCGTTTAAACAAGATGATAAGATAGAGAACCTTAACATACCATCACCACGAGCGTTAGTTCGAGCAAGCTGGAAAGTAGTGTAGCCAGCAGAGGCAAGACGGTCATGGTACATGTTCACCAATTCCTCATTCCCAACCCAAACTTCCTATCAACATACAAAAAGAGTCAATTTTGACTTCTTTTTTTTAAGACACAAAAATGTAAATATAATCTAATTATTACCTGGAGAGAAATTACAGAGGATCGTTGATGGAGTAATAAATCTAAAATCTTCTGGTTCCGAGTAAACCAAAGCGCGCGAAAATCACTCTCACGAATGCTCTGATTCTGTCCACACACACAAACATCCAATGAGACCAAAATTCAAATTCAATAAAAAAAATCAGACAAAGAAACAAAACCTGTTGATCAACACGTTTGTAAATGGGAGCCAAGACGTTGAAAGTAGTACACGTTATATTCGTCGTCGAACCTCCTATTATGTTCGTCGAGTTCACTCTCTGCCACCACAAATCATTCATCAGATCAATATATAACAAACAATCAAATCACTCCAAAAAAAAAAGAAAACAGAGACGCACCATAACTGAAGCCGCCTTGTTGTTTCTCCCGGAGAAAGACGAGAGGAGACCGGAAAAGTAGATCGGGAAAGGAACAGCGGCGAGGACGACGAAGAGAGAGAGTGGCGATGAGAAACAAGGGATGATGAATCTGGACCGTTGAATTAGGCGGCTGCTGAGACTCCTTCTGCTTTGATTGTGATGATGATAGCTTTGCATTTGGGGCTCTTCTTCTTTCGAGTTTCCAAGAGATGGTGTTTTTTTTCTCAGATTTATAATAATTTCCTTTGCGTCTCTTTTTGTTTTTGCCACCTTCTTCTTTTTGTTATTTTATTTAATTGTTTTTTAAAATATACGAGACTTTACGTGAACCGGTGGTTTCTTTTTTGTTTGTTGCCTCCTAAATTACAAAATAACTTTATATTCGTATCGTATATGCCACATAAAACACGCTTTTGCGATCATTAAATAAACATACCAAATTGTAATGTAAGGTGGTCCATGTATCTTCCGTTCACAACTACTATACAATTTTGGTCCATATAATTCCATTCACGATTCGCTAATTATATTCTTCATACATTCAATCATATAATTACACAAATTTTATAAAACTAGTAGTCTATTGGCCAGGACTAGTGAAAGTCTTTTAAGTTTCATTACATCAGTAAGTAATAATGAATGGCATTTGCAGAAGAGAAAGATATTTTAGACAAGTGAACTCGCGTTGTTCGTTGCCAATCAATTATTTTAACAACTTTATAAACTTCCATAGGTCGGTCAGGTTGCGCTTAATCACGTTCTATTAAATTAATTTTGTTTTGTCTTTTTTTTTTTGTCAACGCATAAAATAATTATTTACGTTGTGATAGATTGATAGAATAGTTATTGGCCGACAAAAAAAAAGATACAAGGATTATTGGTATTTGATGATAAAATTTTAATCTCATAGACCAATTATTTTCGTTTTGGGAAAAAAAAAAACACAACCCATGACCAATAGCTTAGATAAAGCCCGTTGTTCAGTCTAATTACATTGGGCTACATGTAACATTGTTATACAGCCCATCACTCTTTGATCTCAACTTCACCAGTACATTTCATTTTTTTGTTTATTCAAAAAAATATTATCAAAGTTGAAAGGGATTCTTTTTTGTTTCAACCAACGTTTAAAAAGGATTTAAGCAAATGAATTCAGTTAAATACGTAATTATGAAATCAACAATAGAATAACATATTCAGTACCAATCACCCACCAAACTTTTACATCCCTTAGAGATAAAGGCTTCTCTTTCACACTCTACTCTTTATATAGGATATAGAAAGCCTTTAAACTTAGGCAAATGATCACTCAATTAAACTTAAAAACCCAAGACCTCAACGAGTGATATAAATTAATAAACAAAAATAAAGATAGGATTCAGATTTCAGATGGAGTTTCATTATCCACTCTAGCCTGCCGCTCAAGCATCTAAACCTAGACAATGAAAGGAAATCAACCAATTTGACATATTCATATATGTACAGCTTATGTAGCTTCCAAGGAAACCAAAATACAAACAGAATAAACCAAAAAAAAAACTAGCTATGAACACAGAATGGGAAATGGATTTGGATCGAAAGCAAACATTCTTCAAATGCACAAAGTGGCAGTTCGAAGACACACTTGACCCTATAAACTGCCCTTTCCACTACTTCTGCGACAGCCCCTACGCCGGCAACTACCCTGAAATCATCGACCTTCTTGTTTTCTTCTTCGTCACGTTTTCTTACTTGACGACGCTCCTCGCCGTCTTAAGAAAAGCACTCTCAAGAACAAGAAGAGCTAGAGAAGATGATGATAGTGTTGATAATGATGATGATGATAAAGCGAAAAGGTACTTACTCCCTTCAGGTCCACTCTCTCTTCCTCTGATCCTCTTGATCCTTGCAAAAGGTCAAAGAATCAACACCCTTTTCCCCATTTCCATTTTTGGACCTGCGATTCTGCAGCTAGTCCAGCTCTCGGTGCTTATATTCGAGAACAGCATCGAAAAGGAGACAAGCTTTGTCTTCTTCGAAGCGTCAACTATCTCCGGTATTCTCCACGCGAGTCTTTACTTAGACGCTGTGATTCTCCCTTACTACACAGGGTACGATGCTCTTGTCACTTCAACGTTCTCTGGAGTCTGCAAGTCTTGCATCTGTAGGAAAGAGGCGTTGACGGTTGGTGGGAAGATTGTTGGTTACAGGGGATGGGCAAGTACATCGTTTTTGTTGGTTGGTGTTTTATGTTTGAGGATTATAAGCAAATTATGTAGAGAGGAAGCGAAGAGGAAGAAAGTTTTTGTGATTAAGAATGTGGTGGAGTATTTGGCGTGGGTTGTTCTTGTACGAGATTGTGTTTACTTGGCGGTGTTGTCTCCTGTTGAAGAGCCGGTCTTGTTTAGGGTTTCTGTGTTTGGTTCTGTTCTCTTGTTGATATGTGTTTATGTAATCTCACAAGTGTGTTGTTTGATTAGTCGGAGGCAGAGTAAAAAGATAACAAACATTTGACATTCATTTAACTTGAGAGACGAGATGAAGTAAATGTGTAAAATGTAAATGATATGGTTGCTTAAAGAAGAGTTTTATTTTATTTTGTTGAGTGATGAAGAAGTTAAGACAAGGGTCAACCGAGAGAAATTTATTATTGTATTCGAACAAATCTCAAAAAATTACAGGAAGATTAAAGCAGGAAACAAGAAAATGCTGCAAATAAAATCGATAAAAAAGAGAAGAAAAACTCATCTCCTTCAAGTTGGATCACAACAAAACTTGTCGTCTTTCAGAGCTCTTAGAGTGGCTTACCACTTATCTTGATGTCATTTCTGATAGCTCCTTGGATCATCTTAACGAAGAACCACTGCAAACATATCAAAGTAATATAAAATTTCTGTTTACCAAATTCAAACAGGACAGTAAAATCTAGTGGATAATGTTTTCTTTTTTTTTTTAACCTGAGCGGCGATGATAAGAGGGATAAGTTTTTTGCCTTTGTCACCAGAGTAAGATCCATCTACCATCTTCTTGTCTACGTGAATTGCTTTCTTCTGATTAGTTGCTACATCGGTTATCGCCTTAACCAAGTTGGGAAGCCACGCTTCACCATTCGGTAATGCCTAAACAAACAGAGATCACATAAGCGAACAGTCTCCAAATCAATCAGTTCAAGTCAGAAAATAAACAAACCTTTTCTTCCTTGTCATTCTTGCTGCATCTCCCACTGTTCTCCGCATATACAACCTCAATGGCAGAATCCTACAAACCAGATTGATAAGCATTATAACTGATTCTTTTCCCAAACATTGGCAATACTATTTTACAGCCCTTATTACCTCAAACTGTTGTTTTCCCATGTTGGAACCAGCACAGATATTTTTGAGGAGAGAAACTGATCTCTTTGAAGAGAAAGTTTCATAGGAAAGATCATCAGGTGGAGAGAATTGAGCATGAGTCAAAACAAGTAAGGTTTTGCACCAAATCTCTTTCCAAAAGTTTGGGTGATAGCTTGAACAACTTGCTTATCAAGCTCATCCACTCTGTACACATTCAGACTATACATTATATTACATTCAGACAATATTGCTATAGTCTACGAAATATTATATTGCTAGAGAGTATATTTTTTAAACTATACATTATATTACATGCTCTATAATCTTTTCAAATTGAAATAGAAGACAAAGAATTATACCACATAGGATTGAACCACTCTTCCCTGGTATATCCTGATCATCTAATTTTTTCTATGTTATTTGATCCTGGAAATCACTCACACCTTGTTTCATTACTTATTTATAAAGTGTCAGTAAAAAAAAAGCTCTATGTAAAATATAAAACTTGACACTATATTATTGTTTTCAATGAAAGAATCAAAACAGTTTATAAACCCAACCAAAAGTATATGTCTACTAGTATTATATACCTTATAGATTTTGATCATGTTCATTTTTACATGTTTCCTATCTTTTTACATATTATCTGTCTACTTTTTTTGTAACTATACTGTTTTCATGCTGCACTATGTGTGACCAATGGTGGATACTTGAGGTTTCTCAGTTTAATAGATTGCTGTGCGATAAGACTAGCTGTAGTATTAGGACCTTGCTGCATGAAAACCTCGTACCCATCACCTAGCGAACCAGTTCTATTGGTTGTAAGTTGCCAGAAAACTCCACCAGTACACGGACCACCTGTTCTTGCACTTTCGTAGATCACATCATATACTCTCTTGAAAAATTTGTTCCGTTCCTCTAAGCTGAAACCAGGAAACTTTGAAGATTTTCCAAACTCTGTTATCAGTAAAGGCTTCTTGATGATGTTGTCACAGTCTTGGATGTGTGCTCCGATCCATTTGTCCACGAATTCATCTTGTTCCCCTGTTCTTGAGCTCTGTAGTGGTAGCCTGATCTTGAAAACAGAGACATCGTTAAAAAGACAAGAAACTAGAAGAAAGATACTGAGTTAGAGTTTGATGACTTACCAAGAATCTGGATAGATATGGATAGTGGCGAAATCGATTTCAGGAACTTGGTTATTTGAGATGAAATCTGTACCGGTTAACACCGCGCCACCGGGATTGTAAACCGTTCTGTCTGGTTTAGAACCTCCATAGAACCCTTCAAGTCCTATTTCGAGTAGATGGTTTGAGTCTATGGACTTCACGTAACTTGCCATTTCTTTCACCCAACTCTGCACGTAAAAACGACATTGTTTAGGCCAATACATACCATACGTACATGTTCAATAAATAATACACAGAGGATAGATAGGTGAGAAAGAAACCTGCAGAACAATAGAACAATTACAGCGAGGTTCGTTGATGAGTTCCCATGAAAAGATGGTAGGGTCTTCTTTGTAAACACGACCAGTGATTGAGTTTTTCCTCGTCAGCACGGTCTGTTTCATGTTTTTTATGTTTGTCAAATCGTCGGTTTAGTTCGGTTGAAGTTAGTCGGCAACGAATATAGCACAAACATTCCAATTCATGTTGGATTGGTACATTTGTCGTATTGCTGATTCTTTAATTGATTTTAATCTAATTAACATTTAACATGTCAAAAAAAAACATGTGACATGTCATAACCGTCGGCTACCTTTCATTAACGTGTACCCAAGAACCTAAAGTATTTGCCTTTAACGTTGCGTGTTACATATGATGATGAGCTCAATTTATGTAAGTGATACTTATCCAATCAACATATTCAACTAATTTTTTTTTATATTATGTTTTGTTATAGGAACTTACCTTAACGTGGTTCTTGTAGAACTGCTTGACTACCGAGTTTGTGTAGAATTCATCCGGTTCATCTAAACCGGCCCATTCCACATATTTCTTTCTCCCTCCATAATCTTCGAAATTATTGACTAAACTAATTATCAACTTAATCTTATATCTTCCAGCTTCATAGACTACAAAGTCTAGTCCCTGCTAACAGCAAAATCTGTATTAGTACTTCACAAAACGCAATTATAATTGGTGGTTAATCTTTCATTAATCATCAACGGTATATTCCCGAATTAGTCAACATACAGGTATCTTGCACCAACTTACATAAAATATGATTTACAAAAATTAAAGAACTATATATCTTTTGTCATTTCGGCATTATCGACTTTATATTATCGTGTGATAAGGACACGACCTTTTTTTTTCAAGCAAATACAAAAGGTTTGAATTTCTTTTGTCGGAAAGTAATATTTTGAAATTTGAATCCTTCAATTTAGATCAACAAACAAGAAATAAACTACAAAGAAACACCTATCAATCTTGATTTATATTTCGTATTATTTTAAAAGTAAAATAATTAACATATGTGACATAATATTACGAATTTATTAAAATAGTAACTAACAGTGAGATCATGATTTAGAATATATAAATATTAATTTATAGAATAACAAAATTGTTAGATCCTTAAAACTTGCACAGGTGATAGAACTTGACAATTAGCCATCAGAAATATGAATTATGTGTCTTTGTGTATATGTGTATGTATACGCATGATGAGTGTTACCTTGAAAACGTCTTCACTATAGGAGCCAGGAGAGATCTGAAGAGGAAGGTAATCTCCTTCGTTGAAACCCCAAATCCTAGCAACGTTCATTCCAACGGCGGAAGCTTGCCGGAGCGCCGTTGTGACGGTGGCTCTTCCTTTAGAGACAGTATCAGCAGCAGTGGTCATCATCCAATAAGCGTTGAAGCCGTTTAGGTAAACTTGTTCCCCGTTCAACAGGAACTGCGTGCCGTTTCTCCCGACGAAGCCTGCTTTTTCGGCAACGGTAATGCGGTTGCTTCCGACGAGGAACAAAAGAAGGAAGAAGAAAAACGAGACGGTGTTTAACATTGTGAAGCTTTTGCCGACTTGATAGAATAGAATGACACAACATGAAACTGAAAGACATTTGTATGGGTTTGTGTTATATATACATTACAGATGTCTTAGTGTTTACGTATTTGAAAAATATTATTTTGTCCCCATATTGCCTAATTATTTGAAAACATAGGTACACGTATTTTGAACGCGTTAAATATTATTTTTCAAGGTTCAACAAATCATTTTGCTGGGATAGTGTATTTTTGGGTTAAGAAAACTATTACTTTCCAGACTAAATGAACATATTCAAAGAAGAAATATATAGAAGTTTCTTTTTGGTCGACGTAATAGACTTCTTATCTTAGGTTAAGAAGCGTATATTTTCATTTTCCATTAAACGATTATTCAATTTCTGTTGAGGAAATAATTTTAATTTTTTTATACTTTATCTATTCTATGAAGTGAATGTTTAAGAAAATTATCTCCGCGGGTAACATCTCTTTCGAATGAGTCATTTCATTATATATCTTTTGGGTTAAGAAGTCATTATAGATTAGTCCCTACTATTGAGTATTGAAGGAAATATATATATTTTCAGTTTTATAACATCGATATGATTTATGGTTGAATGATACAATAAGAAATGACCACACTAATTATTTGCTTTTGCATATAAGCATGACACGCGTGTGGAATTGAGCTATCATACTTAAGCTACTACATGTAAGATTATTTTTCTGCTTAATTGTGTCAGTGACTCAATTATGTAAGATGGAATATTAAATTCAAATTCCCAACAGAAACAATGATTGCCATACGGAAACTTCATATAAATTTTGTGAGCCCAAACTTCACACTAATAACATATATAGTTTTGCATATATAAATAAAATCGGTGAACCATCCACATTTTCAAAGTCTAAACAAAATTGATTTGGGAGGTACCAAATACGATAACCAAACTATTTTTATGGGCCCAATTTTTTGGACTTAAATTAAAAAATGTGGATGGCTCACCGACTTTATTTCTATATACAAAATTATATAAGTTTTACCAATAATAAAATACATGTATAAATGAAATTATAAAAAAATTGCCTGCCAAATAGGAAATAGCTTAGTCTATTAAAAACATGAATAAACGAAACAGAAAATTCGCCTACACCATGTGAATTATGTGCCATATCTTGTTCATAACTTTCAATTCTTTGACCCTTAAGAAAACATGTGTATTGGGTTTACTATTAAGAATTGAAACTATAACCTCTCTGACGATGTTTAGTTCATGTCCATTTCCTCCTCACAATTTTTTTTTATGTCATTTTCTTTTCCTCCTCAAACTCAAATAAAAGAGTTTATTGGAGACGTTATCCTGTAGATCGGATGTAGAAGAAGCGGAGCTATGATAACCTCGAGATTGTCCTCATCTTAAGGTGCATGTGATATCTAAAAGACTAAAAGCCTCACTGACCTTAACAGACAAAGTCTAACATTCAAAATCCAAACCAGTAACGGTAAGATCAAGACAGCACTCAACGTTGTTCCTGCAAATTGGCAGTTTGGCCAGCTTTAAAATCAACCTTACCTTCTAAAACCACACCACAACTATGGACACTGTAAATAAAAACTTGATTTCTTGAATGAAAAATTTGCATAATTCAAATACATGAAATCGAATATCCGGAGAAAGTGTAAAGCATAATATGGTTAGCCACGGTCGAGTATCATCAAACCCTCTCTTTATCTCCTCATCACACGGTTCCGCTCTCTCTTGCGGAATCGTTCCATCATGATCTGATCAGTTGCAGCTTGTCTACTGTTCCCTCCTGAATCCGTAGTAGCATTATTGTTACTAGCAGACGGTTTAGGAGCTTCGCCATCAGCTTGAGGCCTTTTATCTTTGTATAACTCAGGATGTTCTGCGTTGTTTTAAAAGTTGATCAGTACATGAATCCAAACGCATAGGAGGACTAACAAAGAGAAAAAAAGAATCAATTCAAACAAAACCTTTTCGGAGCTTTTCAGCATAATCTTTCCCGCGTTGAAAATAATCAGCACTGTAACTAGAGGGAATGTTGAACTCTGATTTTGGACGACCCATAAGCCTCTTCTCTTGCAGAAGCTTCTTGGCCGCTTCTGTTTCTTCAATGTTCTTCAGCTTATATCTATGTTGAAAGAATCAAACCATTAATCTCTGAAACAAACACAAAAACATATCTTCAATCTATGGAAAAAATTATTCATCATACTCGATAGGGAGTTGAACTTCAGCTATTCCCGTAGTCCACTGTGTTGAGCTCTCTTCTGAGCTACGCTTCTTAACCTGAGAAAGTACTAAATCTTATAAATCCTGCTACATTATTGTTTCAACAAAAAAATCTAAACCCCTAAAAAGCAAAAACTTACTTTAAGATGATCAGGTATCTTATATAACTCATCTTCCACACGCTTCAACTCGTTCTCAACCTCCTCTGCATCCTCAAGACTCTTCCCTCTTTTCTTCGCCAGTTCTTGCTCAACGTACTTCACCCTATTGAATCAAAAACACAAACCCCTAAGACAAACTCACTAGCTCTTAAATTTTGGTGTGTAAGGATAGGCTCTTACATGTTGGGATCTTCAATCAAAACAGCAGTCTCTTGAGCAAAAGTATCTTGCAACACAAGCTCCTCTTTCTCTCCTTCAGCTTCAGCTTTCTCTGCTGTTTTCGCTTTCCCCATGCTATTCTGCGCAGTGGACAAGGCTGAGATCCCTAGCTTCCTCTCTCTAAGCTTCTGCAAAAACTTCACCTCTTCCAACGCCAATCTGCAATTTCACCCAAATTAACCCAAAGACCTAAACTTTCTAACTACCCATCAAACGAATTGAAGAAAACCAAAGAAACAACAGAAAAACCCTAAAAAAACTATGATTTTCGACTTACCTTCGTTTCTCTTCTTCTTCTGAACTCGCCGCTCTACTTTGGTCATCTTCTTCCTCCTCCTCCTCTAATGGACGTTTCCTGAAATTTCTCTTCGGCGGCATCGCAGAGAGTATCTCTATCAGCTTCTTTCAATTTGAGATTTCTCTCGAAGACACTACTTGAGGCGCTCGCTTTGTGTTGATCTCTTAAAGTGGGCTTTGGATCTGAAATTAGATTTTATAACTGAACCGTCCTAAACCGCTTGGTTCATATATTCAATGTTCTTTCCTTTTTCTTTTTCTTTTTCCTTTTTTTTTCAGACGGACAATTGTATATATAACAAACAATCGAAGAGGCGTTCTAATTAGGGTTGTGTGTGGATGCGAAGCCGAAGCCTAAGCGCGAGAAGGGTTCCTTTAATCAAATCAATGAAAGGGAGAGGAATGTTTGGGATACTTCGGGGATGTAGTGGGAAGAAGAATGAGAAGTGTGGGTTATTGTCGCTGCCAGATGATGTGTTTGAGGACATCCTGGCTAAGTTGCCGAGATTGGACCTCGTCGCCTTAGCTATGGTCTCTAGGAGACACCGGTACGTCGCACGGTCCTATAAGCTCTGGAGCATGAGGTATCGAAAGGATAGCGTCTCCTCATATATGTACGTGTATATGCACATGTATCCAGATCCAAGCCCACGTTGGTTCGTCTTCCACCCCGTGCAACGTCGCCTGAAACGGATCCATCAGAGCTTGTGTCCTCCTGCTCCACTAGAAGGATCCTGTTTCGTGACCATGGATTCGGGGATCTATACCATCGGCGGACTCATGGACGGCAAACCCACATCGGAAGTCACGTTTTTCGATTGTATCGATCACAAAGTGCACTCCGTTCCGCCCATGAAGATGGGTCGAAGCGGAGCATCGGCTTGTTTGGTAAGGGACGGGAAGATGGGGAAGTTATATGTGTTTGGAGGGTGCTTGGCTGCTGATTCCTCAAACTGGGTAGAAGTATATGATATCCATACGGAAACTTGGGAGTTGTTGTCTGTGTCTACCCCCAAGATGCCCCTCAAAATCAAAGAAAGTATGGCGCTGGACGAGAAGCATGTCTACGCGGTGGATGAGGATGGTGTAATCTTTTTTTTCTCGACTAGTGAATGTAAGTTCTGGACAGGCGGAGTTAAAGAGTTTAACCCAGGAAACAAAAAAGATTGGCGTTTGATTGATCGCACGTTATTCTGCCGTGGTATCCAAGGGAGAATACTGTGGCGTTCTCCATCTGACTTGGATTGGAAGAAAGTCAAGGGTTTGGAAGAGCTGCAGCACCAACACATCATCAAATTCTGCCCCTTCAATGTTGACAGGATGGCCATCCTCTGGTCCCAAGGTTTGGAGCTTTGGTTTGCTGAGGTTTCCCTCGAGAGACGCTGGGAAGACGAGGAATTGGAGGTTTGGGGGAACATTGAATGGTCCGGTGCTGTTTTCTCAGACTCATCATATACTGCCTTTAACTTGTTATATGCTGATTCTATCTATGTCTGAAGATTATTTATTTATTCCCTGTACAGTACTTTGGTTTTTCAAACATTTTTTATCTTCTGTTTGTTTGTGTGATTTGTATAAAACATATAGAATCCAGTCTGAAAGCTTTATAATAACAACTATCTCTTGAGCTCTACTGTTCTCTGTTCAAGTAACATTTGCCACTTGTTGTAGAGTTGAAACCCTAAATCGTTTCTAGAGTTGTTAGAAAAACAGGATCATATGGGATTTGGGTTTCAAGTTAACGAAAGATAGTAGCAGTAAATGTACTTTTGGCTGCTCAATACGATGGTCCATGTGCTATAAGTATCGTAATAAAAATGTATGCACGTACTCTAGACTCGTCTTGTAGATGTACTCGATTCATACAGCTCATGGGACGAAACAGAACAGAGCAGTGGAGAAGAATACTAAACACGAAGCAGTTCAAGAGAAGACTAAAAAAAAAAGTGGAAAATCAACCTACACAACCTTTTCAATTTCAAAGGCCGCATTGTTTACGGAAACTATATCCCGTTACTTCTATATGCCAATAACTATAAGGCAGCTAGGGAAGTTGACGTTGGTTTAACTCTTCTGAAAAAGAACCAGGGTTTACACGCTGGCCTCATCGCAAACTCATGAGCCTACTAAATCTCATTAGTAACAAGCCAAGGTATATACAAACTAGTAACAAGCAAAGGTATATACATCAAATTGTTAGACACGGTCGAGTATCATCATCAAGCCTCTATTTATCTCCACATCACACGGTTACTTTGGTCATCTTCTTCATCACAGTCATCATATGACACTAACACAACCTGACCCCACAAAGTATCCTGCAACACAAGCTCCTCTTTCTCTCCTTCTGCTTCAGCTTTCTCTGCTGGTTTCACTTTTCCCATCCTATTCTGCACCGTTGATAACACTGAGATACCTAGCTTCCTCTCTCTCAGCTTCACCTCTTCCAAAGCCAATCTGCAAATTCACCCAAATCAACAAAACTGGTGGTATAGCGTATCGGGCCCATCTTAGAACACAATTGTGAATTGTTTCAAAAAATACATTTTCTATAATTTTTATCAATTAATAATGTCTAATAGTAAACTTCAAAAATTAATTAAAAATTTTATGCATTCATAACTAATATTTATTTTTTTATTAATATATGTGAAATTTTTAAAACATGTATTATTTAGAACAATAACTAACTAAGAGTATATATGATAAATTTTATTTTGCAAACCAGCATAAACCAGACAATTATAGTAATGACGTTTTTTTAGTAACCAGAACATTTATAAAAAAACATTTCAAAGTTGTTGATCATGAAGTGACCACTTCATTTACTTGAATTATTTCTTGGTAGAAAGCCTTTCCTTGATCTTGTCAACCATCTTAGATCCCACCTGAAAAGTTTTTGTCAACACATCTTCCGGCAAAGCAGGCTCTGACGCAAAAAGCGTCGCTGCAACAGACACTGTTCCTGGCAACTGACTATTAAACGCGCACAAAACAGATGCTGGAGATTTCCCATTATTCTTTTGAAAATGGACTAGCCCTCTTGGAAAAACAAACACTTCACCAATCTTAATGGTTTTTGAGAAAAGCTTGTTTGATGTCGTGATAAACCCAACTTCGAGCTCTCCTTCGAGGACATAAACAACTTCGGTGGCCCGTGGGTGAGTGTGAGGTGGGTTTAAGCCACCCGGCGCGTAGTCTATACGTGCTAAGGAAACTGAGAGAGTGTTGAGCCCTGGGATCTTCTCCACGTTGGCTCCCGTCACGGCAGAGCCCATCGTCGAGTTTATGACGGCGGGGCTTGAGATTCCGGCGAAGAAGAAGTCGGACGATGTGATGTTTGACATTTCTTTGCATGGGAACCCGTTCAACTTGGTTCCTGTAATATGCACATAGGACCGTTTATTATGTAACACAAGGCATTTGTTTATCCATTGTAATCACTAGATTGAATGTTTGTTATGAAAGTGGATGAATTTGACTTGCAAGCTACAACCTTGCTAATTTTTTTTTTTTTTCTTTTAACTCTATTTGATTTGAAATTATCACGTCTTCATTTTATTAATTTTTTTTGAAAATCATAAGAACGGGAATTTCACCTGGCTATTTTTTTTTTTTTTGAAAATTTGTAGAATTCAAAGATGGAATAATTATAAAAATATCATAAATTATTAATGTTAATGGAAGCAATAATTTGTTATTATTTTTAATCACGCTACGAAGATGAACCGGAATATCGGGTACAAAGACCTATCCTACACTTTGGTACTTTTGGAAAAAACGAAAATAAAAGTACAAGGAACTAATATTTTACCATGAGATTTATCAGCAACGCAGAGATCCTGAAGGGCATCGGGATCGTATGCATGAATCGAAGCCATAATGCAAGATAATACGATGGTTATGAAAATTCTTGAATTCATCATGGTTCAAAAGGTGAACTATATATGATTATTGTTAAATTTCGAGAAAACAAGCTCCAGATTCTTTAGACAATGGTACAACTAGGCTTTTGTTTTGATACTTATAGAACATGTACCATCGTAGTAAACGAAAAGTCATTTGCTTGGGAGAACACACAAACTTTCATTTGTCTTTACCAAACTAAGAAATGTACATCAAAGCTAAGTAGGTAAAACTATAGCTTTCAGACATGTCTTTCACTACAACCAAGACTTAAATTAAACGATACGGTATTCAGTTTAAGGAAATTTTGTATTTATACACAAAAATTATCATGGATTTCTTGATAGTTTTAAGCTCCTTCTATTAATTAAACAAAAAGTCTACAAGGGAAATTTAATTTATATTAAAATTTAAAAATATACATTTTGGAAAATTTATTTCACTTTTATGTTATTTGACTAATCATTATGGATATTTGATATAATCCTATTAATAGATGATATTAATAATTAACATGAAGATATAAGAATATAAAATTTTAGCTTTACAAGGATATCTCAAACATCATAGCAGATAATGATAAAATCGTTAGACATATTAGAATATTTTTATTTTACAAAACATCATAAAACTTTGCGCAACACAAAACAGTATGTAAATAGCTCAAATGTACATGATGTTTGGTGCAATTAATCGCTGGAATAGAACACATTGGTCAACTCCAGATCCAAGTATACAAATCACATTGTGCATGTCTTATTTCGTTTTTCTGTTTTTTTTTTCTAATGAACGAACGTTTCATACAAACTTTCTATAGCAACTTACATACTATAGTTTTCCACCCATCGTATGGGAATAAAAATCAAGAGAACTTGGGAAACAAGGAACCAAACCGCAAAGACAGTGACTGGAAGCAGCTGGTAATGCTGTTGTAGGAAAGAGAGATTGATTAGATGTGTGTAGGAGTGAAAGATTACTAAACGGTGGCAACGGCCAATTCGACGCCGGAACTAACGGCGACGACGTTGTTTGATTCGCTAGATTTATACCGTGAGCCATAGCCATCACCGTCAACAAGTAGTTGTGCATTTCAAAGTTTAATGTCGCCTGAGTAATATAAGGATTCATTCCCATTATAGACATCACCTGCAATTACAACATTATTATTACTAGCTAGTTAGTTTTTGAATATATAAAATACTAATATAAATACATATACTGATTTGATCAAATGAATGAAAGTCAGAAGTGACACAGTGATTAGCTTACAAAGCTTTCAAATGGAACTTAGATACGAATCCAAGCAGAAAACTGATAAATATATATTAGCACTGGTGTATATTTTATAGTTTTATATCTATACACAAATAAAGAAATTCAGCAACATAAGTGTTTTATTCCCTATTAATCTATAGTATTTTGTTTTTATTTGGTACCAGAACTTATGATCTTTTTCATTATTATTACACTTATTCATATGAGAATGGTCTAGACTTAAACAAATAAACTTATTTTATTTCTTGGTTTACTTTCAAACATAAAATTTGTTATAAGCAAACACAGTATACCGTCTAATAGTTTAATCGACCACCTAAACGTGTGGTGTGACCATCTATACCGTCTAATAGTTTAATCGACCACCTAAACGTGTGGTGTGACCATCTATACTGTAAAGAAACAAACCAAGTTGATAGTGCTTAGCACTAGCCCAAGACCGTAGTACCCGAGAGACCCGAAAGAAACAAGAGAACTTCTAAGTATGAAGAATAATATGGAAGAACTCTCAAAAGGATTTAGGGAACTTTGAGTAGACACTCTTTCTTTCTTTTAAGAAAACTTTCTTATTACTTTACTTGTTCAACTTCTT